TTCGATGTGCGGAAACAAGGTTGTCCATTGAAGTGTTTGCTATTGGATGCGTGAAATGATGGTCGAGCGGGGGGGGAGGACTCATCAGAAACATTTCGCAGCTCAGTCTGCATGTGATATGTTAGGAGGTGGCGGTTGCAACTGAAGTTAATAAGGAAGGAATCCCAACAACTGCAAGTAGAGGACGTCCTGTGAGTGGTAGCATTCTAGCATACAGTGAGACAAACACTTTCTTATGTACAAGCAATGTGAAGTTCTCATTTGCAGTGCCATCCATAACTCTACAGTTATGCCTCTTCCAAGGGTTAAGGGGTCTTAAGAAGTCATCCGGACTAATTCAACTTTACCCATTCTGATGTCACAGCTGCGGTCTTTAGTAATGAAGGCCTTCCCATGGTTGAAGGTCTGTAGTAAGCAAGAGATACCAGATGTTGGTAGATAATGATTGATGTTGAGCCATTGCCACCATTTGGCACATTTAGCGTATTCTACCTCTCCCGAGGGAAGATAGTCTGGCGAAGGTAGGTTGGCCCGGCAAAGCCGAGCTGTGAAATAGAAGGAGGAGCACCCGGCGGCAGCCGGGTGATCCTCTTCTATTTAATCTGACTGTCAAGACATTTCACTATGATTTCGTTATTGTTACCATCAAGGTTCTTTCAACCGCTGAGCTGCCCTATTTTCAACGCATGTTGGGTGTTGTTAGAAATGTCATAGGCATCAGGCATTGGCAAATGCTCATTAAAAAGGTGATGTACGATGAAATGGGCCAAATCCTGAAACATGGAATTAAGCTAAGTTTGTATGTCTAATTTAATGTTCAGCACAATCCTGTCAGCAATTAGTGCCACAGCTGGACGCGGAGTAGTGCACGTCAGCCAACTGGTATTCGAAATACTCAACGTTTTTGAGGAAACGTCGATTACGTTGGACCGTTATGTGTGCTTTCGTTCGTTCACTCAAAGGAATCCTTGGTGTCGCGAGGTATGAATGCATCAAAAATTTGCAGAGCATAATCAGCTACACCCCCCGTTCACAAATCTACTCATAGCTCACGCATCAGGTTGGAGTGATGTACAACTCATTCCTCCACCCTTATTTACTGAAATCGCATCTGACCGCTAAATTGACTCCCTTTTGAATAGTAGATGATTATAGAGCTGCTGTGATGAGCACCAGTAAATAACTTTATCACTGACACTGTCATCATCTTTTACGAACAACACTTGTGAGTACGATTCCGTTGCCACACTCCCCTGCGTCACAGGGTTTTGTGACATTACAATGCAAAAAAAGTTCAAGATGTCACGTAACCGCATTTGCTAGCCAATAGCTCTGCTGCTGGAGCAATCGATTTACTCCACTGTATACATCCGCAACAACTTTCATCAACAACTGATGATCTAACGATGTTTCTCTGTAGTGACGCACAATTGCTTGGCGATCCATTGAGGTAACTTCAGGAAATAAAAAGACAAAAGAATTCAAATTGAGGCAGTTGTTTTCCCTCAGTTTATGTGGTTCACATGATTTGCGCAGTCGTCAGGGTCAATCCTACTATATATAATCCGCGATGATGGTCTGTGTCGTGTGTGCGTGTGTGTGTGTGTGTGTGTCACGAAATTCATAACGCCGGTCACAGCAGCAGGGAGAATTTGGTTTCAAGATATGATATTGGGCATGGGAGGGGAAGATTATTGGTGGGTGATAGGAAGTGATATCTACTGATAAGATTCGATAAGGGTCGTTAGAATGGGATCGCCACCACATTCATAACGCTGATGAAAGCATCAGTTAGGTATCCATTTCAAGAGATGATAAAAGGTATGGGACAAGATTATCATTGGTGGGTGACACGAAGTGTCAGCACCTGATAAGATTCGATAACGCCATTAGAAAGTTATGGTCACTGGGTGTTCACATCGCAGATCACAGCGGCAGTGAGGCGTTGGTTCTAGCAGGTGTTATAGAAGGGGAGATGTGGACATCAGCCGTGGGTGGCTGGAAGAGATAACTGCCTATAGAGGCTGATAAGGAAAGTTGCAGTCGTCGTCGCTGTTCGAGGTGGTTCACGCTACCAAAACTGTGATGAGGACATTGATGACGGGTGACAGGTAATCTTATCAATCGATAAGAAACCGATAAGATGCCATCTGCGCTACATTTTGATCACTTCTTACCGCTATAATGCCTGAGTTAGAGGCTCAGTGGGTGTCCTCATTTCTTCGACGTCAACGAATAATGGTCAGCGAGGTGTTTGCTACTAGATATTGAGATTATTATAGCGCGGGCTGAGAACGGGAAAACGGAAAATCATCAACGAATAAAAATTTTGCGCGTAGAGCGGCCGCCAATTTAAGCAGTATTATAAGAAGGAAAGTTAGCCAATTGGAATAGCGTGACGTGCTGTCGGTGTAACATTCGAGCTCTCCCACACACTTTTACAGTTCAAGCAATGTTAAGTTCTCCTTTCTATTGCAACCCATAACTCTGCAGTTATGCCCCTTAAGGAATGATCCGCGACTGGTAAATATCGCTAAAGCGAAGGCGGGCCTGGCGAAAGCCAGTCGGCTGGCGAACCCGATGCCGTGAAGGGAAGGAGGAGCACCCGCGCGGCAGCCGGGTTGATCCACTGTATTTAATAGATGAATGGTCAAGTTTTCGTGTGAACTGCTGTAAAGATGACACACCAGAGCAAATGTAAAGACCTTACTGAAGTTCATGTTCTAATGGACTTTTTCATACTTTATGAAAAAAAGAGAGAAAAAACTCAAAACTTGACCCTGACTGATTATAAGGCTCGATCCTGGGTGATATCAATCTTCACCGTCAGTTCAATATCCCTATTCGAACGGTCAAACGCATGATTCTTCTTCTCGCGGCAGAGGTGTCGCAGGCCACGCCCACCAGCTGCACCGGACGATTCTGTTTCTACACTCCCCCATATGAGGCCTGCTACTACAGCATGTGGAGGTGCTTGTGGAGTAAGACGCTTCAGTGGCCAATTTAAAGGGTTGCTTACATTTCCACCACGTGTCTTTTGGAGTCGAATCAAAGAAAAGAAATGACTTCGGAAGCACCCATATGTGATGTCCCATAAGCTACTTCGATTACCAAGTGCGACCGTGTAGCGCACGAGATGCGGTAGCCAAATTGGTCCCGAGCTCAAAACAAGTAGCAATAAACCGGCAGAGCGTACGGGTCGTCACGCGCGAAAGGATGTTTTGCCTCTTATCAGGCGCTGTGTGGCGCCTTTTCCATCTAAGGGCGTCATTATAGCGCTCAACCAATCTGCAACATGCCGCACCTGGATTGTTAATTTACCCGTTACAACCGTCCTTTCTCTCCGCCCACGAGGCGTTGTAGAGTCACTTCAACTTCCGCGTTACTCTTTGCGTTTAAATTTATTCATGAAGTACAGGTGATATGGAGCGGTGCCACATGGGTATACAATCACATATATACAGCCGTATCTATCAGAACAAATGTTTTTCACAGGTTCTTGAGCGTTTAACTTTGCTTTCTCGTCACTTTCCACCTGTAAAGCAGCCCTGCTGCTCTTTGCTAGAGCCATTCTCGACGCCCCGCGCCTATTTTTTCATCTGCCGTGTGCGTCAGAGTGTAATAACGTCACATTCGACCAAACCCCCGGATGGTACGAGCCCGCACAGTGGCGGCTGAGATCAAGGTGAGTCATATGTTTTATACATCGACCACCGGCTTTGCCGGCTGATGCCTGCACGCCTTCTACTGAGATAAGAATGGATTTGCTGAGCGGACCCGGCTCCGCCGCACTTACCTTTCTCCTCACCGGCTTTTCTTTTATACAAAATAGTCAACAATCTTTGACCAACATGTTCATGCGAGTAGCTCACTTATAGTGCACTACATGATTCTTTTATATAGTGAGGTTGTAAACAATCACACATTGCCTCAAAGTGATACCAAAACATGGATTTTATTCGCGACTCTGCTAGCGGTTGATCCTTCCTCTATTCACCTTATCGCTTCATTGGCGCTTTTATTACCACACTTGTGATGAGTTTCTACTAAACGCACTCTATGCTTCCCCTCCGTACTCTCCCTCACTAATCCCACCCACCCACATTATACCCTCCCCACTCCCACTTGCCCCACCCACTCCCCATCCCGGCCGCTGCACGTGCTCACGTCCACCTGCCACGCGAGCAGCTCGTGCAATGGTTTGGAGTGCACTACATGGGCGCTGCTTTTATGCGCCCAGGTGTTATCACAATCGACACATTGGATTGATACATCTGCACCAACTGGATTCGCCACCGGCTAGCGGTCGTACACTCTCCTACACTGACGTGTTTGAACCCGGCTTAAGCATTTTACGACGAGAGAAACATACATACATTACATACGACAAACCGACACACAGGAATTAGTGGTTTATAGAAAAAAATAAAGCATAAGAGATACCACCGCTGGGAGCTTACGTAAGTGGAATTGTTTTCTGGAAATGTTGAGACGTCTGAGCGAGACAGCTCTCATAAGAATATATTAGTTAATATAAATAAGGATACTAAAAGAAGCGAAAGACAGCCCGAAAACTTGACCATACCTGCAAGCCACTATAATAATCGGCTACCCGTCCCATCGTGAAGAATACTATCGATAATAATCGCCAAGCATTGCAAAGCGGTCGCACATAGCGCACCCTTGTAGTAGTTTTTTGAGCAAGCATCATTCTTAGCGGTTTCGAATGGCAAGCAGGTGAAAGTGGCGGTGATGGAATCATCAACAAGAGACAAGCATGAGATACCCACTGAAGTGTGCGTCGTTCGACAATCGTGAACGTTTCGCCGCGTGATTCACTATTTATGACAGCTGCGTTCAACAGTTTCCAACGATCCCAACTGCGTTACAAAAAAATGTCAGAAAACCACAGATTTGGAAGCATGGGCGTTTCAAAACAGCTTGGTGGCACAAGAAAATGAACAGCATTACAATGGAATGTCGTAGGACAATGGAATGGGTTACATCGTCATTGCCGGATCTTTCGTCACTGTTCTGCCATGACACCTGTGAATTGACGCTGCTGGAATTAAAGGTCGGGACTGAGCAGAAACCTTTCACTTTCCTGCAATCTCTTAGCTAGGCGCGTTTCAGTACCGTGCGACGTCGACGTCAACGTCGACGAAAGCTGCGTAAGCTGCGTAAGTTGCGTAAGCTGCGACTGGTTCGTGAATAATACATACGTATCGATCCAACGAAAGCTGCGTAAGTTGCGTAAGCTGCGTAAGTTGCGTAAGCTGCGTAAGTTGCGTAACCGACGACAGCTAACCGATCGATACGTATCTATTCTTCTCGAAGTTGTCGTCGGTTACGCAACTTACGCAGCTTACGCAAATTACGCAGCTTACGCAGCTTACGCAACTTACGCAGCTTACGAACTTACGCAACTTACGCAGCTTTCTTTGGATCGATACGTATGTGTTCTTCAGTCGCAACTTACGCAGCTTACGCAACTTACGCAACTTACGCAAAAGACGTCGCACGGTATGAACGCGGCCTAAGCCTAGAAACACAATCCTAGCACAACACTCACAGGTTAAAAGACGCATCGTACTCAGTTTCGATTCGTATCCAATCCCAAGCAGCTTCCCGCTTCTTTCGTTCTCCCTGTGGATACTCAGTGTTCGCAACCATAACTTCATCGTCTGTTGGAGCCTGAAGAACAATTATCGCGAGTTATCAGGGAAGCATCACTTGCTTACACCTACCACGTAATCACAAGTCAGTGTCAGCCGAATTAAGAGCAGAACATGAAAAAGCCACTTGACCATCAACGAACTGGTGTGCCCGCCTGAAAGCTTTCTGACTTGTAGACACACCGCTCTTAGAGTGAACCACACCTGCAGTTAAAGTAGGTTTTGATGCCAAACTTGCTCTTATCATTACCTTTTTGATAGTACACTTACACTTCTCATGCTTATACGTGCGCAAAATCGATATCCATTGAAATGTTCACACATAGTGAATGAATGGAGCAGTAGTTTCTCGAAGGCTCGCAAGCATCATCGTAGTGGAATCTGAAAAGCAAGTGATTGAGCATTACAGAAGGATGTAATTTTCCCTCACCATTTTCTTATATTTTGATTTGAATTTGTTCGGCGCGTGAATACCCTCGAAACCTTTCCTTGTTTCGTTGTTTGATTGTCTTTTCTTCAGAAATGTATCCTCAGTAGTAATATATTGCCTCAGGGGATAGCCTGTGGTACAATAAACCCCACTATAGTATATACACTCCTTATTACTGAGCCAGATTAGGCGTGGCATTTGAACATGGCACGGAACTGGTTACTCGTGGAATACTAGAATCTGGGACAACTGTCATCTTGTGGTTGCAAGACACAACAACAGTTGTGTATAGATGGAAATATCCCCACCAGAAGCATAGACACCCTCAGGTTGAGTTGAAGAATGCAGCCCCGCCTACCTGATCTCAGGGATCTCGAGTATATTTTGTTGCGTCTGTTTTGTCTGCTGAGAAAGTCAGGTTCTGACCTGAAGAGCCACTTAGAGAAGGGGCGGCGGGGGGGGGTGCCAGGAAGGCAGAGAGTCACTTCCTAAAAGTGATATGGGGAAGGGCGAGATGCTGATTGAAGGCGGCAGAGCGTTGTCACTCTGCTGACGGGATCCGATAAGACCTCGAGATCCGGAGAGGCTCGAGATCCACGAATTCGCTAATTCTAAGACGTGGAGATCGGTCTACATATCCAGACGGAATAGCCACTGCATCTCTAAGGGCAGTGGAGAACGTCATCAACGACTTCTACGCTATCCGCTTTGACAGCCATATCCCCCTGCCATTACCCTGGAGCGAAGTGTGGACAGCAGTCATTGCTTCAGTTCTCCTCTTAAGATGTAGATCCTGCCTGAAGCGGCTTGCCTTACATTCTTCGCGACCGCCTTTCCTCGCGTGAAGATACGCCAATGGAAGAACGTAACACGATAGGATGAGATCCGAATACTTCTCAAAATCTATTAGATTGTCCGGAGAGTTCTCAGCGTTTCGAGTGTTTCACTTCAAACGATCATAACTTTCCTAATACACTCTACGTAGCGGACGGTTGGGCGTGTCAGCAAGTATGAGTGTGTCACCCTCTTTGAGCTGTTCTCTGCCTTCTTTTGAAAACGGGCATGCGACAAAAAGCAGTAGATTGATAAAGGCATAAAACAGCATTTGCTCGCTGAACAACAACACGGAGAACGAGTTGGCAGCGCCGGCAAACGCCAGACGGCCGAACAACGACCCAACCGCTGCCGCGGTATGAACTACACTATACTCATCGGATTCTGTCGAATGAAGCACCTTTCGAATCAGCATACTTTTGCCAGTGTGACGCAGCTTGATAAATCCCATTAACGAAAAAAACTAGGTGGTCGAGAATCCACGAAGGCTTTTTTGCCTGGCCCTGACTGTTGAAGTATTTTCCAGCAAGGAAAGTTCTGAAAATGCTTGTAAAGGGATAGTCAGTTGGTGAAGGGTCTGGAGTATATGGCGGGTGAAGTAGAAATTCAACCCCCCAATTCGTTCCCCGTATTCGTTAATTTATGGGGTAGTGATCTGTGAAGCGTGTGGGCGGGCGTTGTCATGCAAAAGAATCGGACTCCTTCTGTTGACAAGTACTGGCTACAGCTGACGCAATTTTCAGTACATTTCGTCGATTTCATCACAGTAGGACTCTGCTGTGATGGCTTGGCGTGGTAACAAAAAGGTATGATGGATCACTTCAGCCGATGACCACCACACTGTGACCATAATCTGCTTTTCGTGAGGATTCGGCTTTGAAAATTGCCTCGGTGATTCGTGGGCATCCAGCCACTGTCCGGAACGTCTCCTGTTATCACACATAATCCAATTTCATCACACTTGACCATTCGTTTCAAAAATGAGGTCGCGCAAAATCAGTGAAGAAGAAAGCGAGACGTGCCACTTTCTGCCGGTCACTCAAATTGTGCAGCACCCACTTGTCGAGTTTTTTGACCTTCCCAGTGCGTTTCAGACTATCGAACAGTGAATTTTACAAGGCTAGTTTTCTGCAATCTTTTAACTTTTGGGATGGGTCAGCCTCCACAAACGCCTTCAAATCCTGCAGTTGACCGCTGCGAGGTTCATCTTCAAGGCTGAAATCTCCAGAATGAATTTGTCGAACCATTGTCGCACGGTGCTTTCTCCAACACTATTGGGCCCCCACACCTGGTTAATTTGTCGAGCTGTCTCGACTGCGGATTGACCCAATTGTAGTTGAAGAAAAATATCGT